TCTGATTGTAGCCTATTCCTTCCTTCTAACGTGCCCACATCCCCCCACATCTTAGTGTCATCAGCAAATTTGAACAGGGTGCTTTTTACCCCCTCATCCAAGTCACTGATGAAGATGTTGAACAGTGTGTGCCCAAGGACTTTTGTTTTCCATTGTCCTGCTATTACTACAGGTAGGAAGTTTGGTGTAGGGGGTAGTGGAAGGGTTCTAAGACACTTTATCTGACCTGTTTCAATACTTTTCAGTCACAAGTGCTTGAAAACAAAAGTGCTTAATGCTTTGTTTTACCTTCCTACAGGATGACGATGCAGGTTCTGCTGCTGTTGATGCTGACTACACTGTTAACTGGAAGAGTCCAAGCTGTGAGTAAAATGTCTTACCTTTTCTTAGAAATTGAAATAATATTTTAATTAAACATGAAACAGTTAAGATGCTTGTCAAAGGAGAGTGCTTATCTATGTAACATTTTACCCAAAAATGATTCCAAAGCTTTAAAAACTAGCATTTTCAGTAAAATGGTCTTTGACAAGATGCTCTAGAGTTTGGTTCTTGCAGTAGACCACATGACTTGTACAGACTTGCAGTATTCCCGTGTTACTTGTCAAAGCAATAGTAGGCCATTTAAAAAAATTAGCCCAAGTTCATCTTCATTTTTTTAAAGAAGAGCCTCAGAATTTGCTGTGGCAGGAAGGGAGAGAGAAAGGGTCATATTTTCCCATTTGCCATTACGTGCACGTCCCCTCTACCTTTTGCACAGGTACTTGAGTAACATTAGGTTGATGGCCCTTTACAGTTTGTAGCCCCACACACTTTGGGCTCTGTCTGCTTAGGGCTATGTAAGAAAGGAGCCAGGAAGAACTCACTTGCAATAAACCTCACCCCTTCCACTTGCAAATGTGTCAACCCCCTGCAGACCTGCCAGGTCCTGCCACTCTGGACTTGCTAGGGCTCTATGCCCAGGGTTTTTGCAGCAGGCCCCTGAATTCCCAGCCCCTCTATCAACCCTGCAGACAATACAACATGGTTCTGCAAGACATTCATTTGACACCCTGGCCTACATCAGGAGGGAGACTGGTGACAGTGGAGGCAGAGAGAGAGATAGTTAAGGCTATTTGAGATGTCCTGTAATAACTCAAAGGCTACCTGTAGGATCCTCAATAACCAGCAGTAAGAAGAGGGCCCATGCGGTTGTTTAGGGCTGGTGTTTGAGGGGAGTTATACAAAGTTTATAATCCCCATAACTAGACAGGGCCTGGACTGGGTACCCAGGTGAGGAGGCATTGCCATAGCAATGAAGTATGTTGCCTGAGGTAAATTCCACTCTGGCAGCCCATGCTTGCCCCGTGCACAGATCCGGGGGGGCACATCTCCCCCATACTTGCCCAGGAGTGCACACAGTGGCAGGAACTGTCTTTCCCCCATCCCCGTAACCCCCACCGAATGAGCCTCTTGTTGCTCTGTGTCATACCCCGCACCAGCTGGGCAGCACCTATTGGCGCCCCTTCTCTTCAGCGCTGTGGCAGTCACCCCACTCGCCCCCCACCTTGCTACAGCACTGAGAGGAGGTCTGGGCCCTCCTACCTAGCTCCAGTGGAAAAAACCCCAAAGAGAGAGAGAAGTTAAATGAAGGAACTGTGCAGAAGGTCTCAATAGGCAGAAATACCTTCTTCTCAGTTCTGCAACAGTAGGTTGTCAGAAGCAGCAATGCCCTGACACTTAAGACTCCTAGCAGGGGAATTAGGATTCTGTCATATATATACATCTATGTTATGTGCAAGGGTAAGAACCCTTGCGACTGTATATAGGAGCAAGAGTTATTACACACAAGTGTCAGGCCATGTAAATGAAGAAGGTTGCTTATAGACAAGTCCAGAACTATGACACCATTGTTGTTCCACCCACATCACCCCTCCCCACCTACCACCCCCAGGACAACTCACCTCCATTCTGTCCCAGAGACAATAACACTGGCCCTGGGGGTATGGAGCAGACATTGCTTAGATATGAAGATGAACATGCCTTGGATAATAAAGGCCACAGCAATAAAAGACCATGGCAGCAGTAAATATTGAATGATAGCATGACTTAGGATATATCTACTCTGTCTCTCTCTCTTAGGCTCTATCTGATGCCAAATACAAGCACATTTGGGAAACAGTCTTATATTTTGTACTTATTTAAAATAAATTGTTCTTCATTTCTTTGTCAAAATGAGATCATAAAAAGACAATTTTAGATGGCTCAGCAGAAGAACTGAGAACTTGTCTGTCTGGGGTAACAGCCTTACCTCTCAATGTAAATTGCAACATAAGGATTAAAACAACTTGGGGCATCTCTTAGTGCCTCTCCAGAGCTTTCCAGTCACCCACTGCAGTGAGGAGCTTGGGACACTGGCACAAAGGGGTTCTGTGGAAGGGGGGCCTCTACCCTAGGTGATCAGCCCCACTCTGTCCCCAGCAACAAAGGCATTGCCCCTTCACTGGTGCTTATTGCATCACACACCTCACCTGGCTCCTGGCTGAGCAGCAGCACAGCCAGCACAAGCCCCACACCTTGCCACAGCTTCATCCTCCTTCTCCCAACCTGGGCATGGAGGCGGGTGAGGGAAGTTGTCCCACTGCTCTGTCCCATCCCATCTGCCCTTCATGCTGGGCTGATGCCTCTGTGCCTTGCTTGGTGCTGTGGGGAAGTGAGGCAGCTCTGACCACCCAGCAGTGAGAGAAAAAAGGAGGCGGGGGGCATGGCTGCTGTGCTATTGCAGCTGCTGCTTCCCTCCTTCTCCTCTTGGGCAGGGGGCCAGCTCTGCGCCTCACCCCGCACAGTGTGGCTGGGGCACTTTGCATGGGGCACAACTCTGTGGAAGCAGCAGAAGGGTAAATGTGGGCAGTGGGTGCACAGGCGCAGAGGTGCGGGGTGCTGCAAAGCTGCACGATTGCGGCTGTCTTAGGGGGCTGTGCCTCACAGTGCTGCTGCAGACAGTTGCAGGGAGGGAACTGCCTCTGGCAGGCTGAGGTGCTGGTGATGTACGCAGGGCACAGCCCAGCTCGCAGCCTTCGTGGGAGCTAAAGTGCTGCCTGCAACTACCAGAGCCCCCTGCCTCTTCTCCTGAACCTAGTTCACCAGCAGCCTGAGCTGCTGCCCACCGCTCACCCAGCAACATTGTGGCCCCTAAACAGGAGGTGGCCACAGCTGGACCAGCTCCCAGCTCAGGGCCTGCTAGTTGCAACCCCATGGAAGAGGAGGGGGAGCATGCTTAGCAGGCTGGACAGTGCTTGTCCTTGCCCCTGGGCCACCCCCAGCCCACCAGGCTCACTGCAGCATCTGCACCCACAGTGGTGTCAGTGGAGGCCGGGGTGCCGGGTGCCTCTCCCTGCGATCCACACTGTAGGCACCTCCACCCCACTACCCTCCCCTCCCTCAACTGTTGCCAATGCACTTGTGTAAATAGTTTCATGGGGAAAAGAGTGCTTTATTGGTATTGGGCATTGGAGTCAGGGGTGGGGTCTGTTGTTGGAGGAGGAGGTAGTGAGCAAGCATCTTGTGGACATGGTGCCCTGGCTGCCGCTGCTGGGGGAAGGGCAAGAAGCGAGCATCTACGGCACACTGGCCACAGGCTCCCAGAACAATGTCCCCTGCCAGTCTGAGCCTGACCCTGAAGCACCCTGACATCCTAAGGCTGCCCCCTGGTGCACCCTGTCACCTTGAGGCTGGCTCCCCGAGCCCCCTGCCAGTCCTGGGCTGGCACCAGAACAGCTGCAGCTGGAGACTGGAGCTCCCCCTGGACTTAACTGTTTCTGTGAGCAGCAAATTTGCTCCCAACATGGGCGTATGTGTAGAGGCATTCCCAGGTGCAGTTTAATGCACCTGAATTTACCATGCATTAAATTCAGGCACATTAATTGCATGGGTAGATGCATCCTCTGTGATTCACACCCCTGTTGTCCATAAAGAAATGAGCTTTGACTAGCACTCACATCGCAGAGAGATTTAATGGTCTGTGAATTGCTATGGGAATAAAGATTCTTTATCATAGAGTCATAGAAGTAGAGTCAGAAGGGACCTTGTAGATCTTCAAGTCCAACCCCCTGCCTGGGTGGGAGAAAAAAACTGGGCTCAAATGAGTCCAGCCAGGTAGGCATCAAGCCTCTTCTTAAAGACCCCCAGAGTAGGAGCCAGCACCACTTCCCTTAGAAGTTGGTTCCAGCTCCTAGCTGCCCTAACTGTGAAGTAGTTCTTGCGGATGTCTAATCTAAACCTACTCTCCAATAATTTCTGTCCATTATTCCTTGTTATGCCAGGGGGCACTAGGGGAAACAGTGTCTCCCCCAAACCCTTCTGGCCCCCCCAGTGAGTTTACAGACAGTCACCAGGTCCCCCCTCAGCCTTCTCATGTGAAGGCTGAACAGGTTTAGGTCCCGCAGTCTCTCATTGTAGG